TTATGCCTTTGATCTTAAGATCTACATAATGATTCTTGCCAGAAGTACAACTTGTACCACAGACTACAGAACAGAAAATCAGTTCTTGGAGCAGTAGCTCAACTTCATCTGAGGGATCCTATTCTAAGAAACTAAATAACATATGCACTTCTTATGTCTTTGTTTGTTTTTGTTTTTAAAGCAAATCTCAATTTCCTGTTCTGCTCCAAATATATGTGACCAGGTAAAGTTCTGCTCCAGGTCAGACCTGCCCTCCTATAAGGTATAAGAGGAGTGAGTCCCTGAGCAAATAGAACTTCAGAGTGATAGTTTTGATGAGGAGTAAATCAAACCAATGATGCATGGAAACCACGAGCACATTGGAGATTGTCAGAGAGAGACACCACCATTCTCTCAACAATAGACCTGCAGGACCTCTTGAGAGCAAGATGATGTTCACAGATGCAAGCAAGCCTAGATGCCTTTTGCATTGGCTATAGAATGCAGCAGCCAGACTCACTGAAGATATGTGGTGGTAGCTGAAGTAGTAATGGAAGAGCCCAGGACAGTTTCTAAGCCTGAATTCCAATACTGAGTCTGCCCTTAAATGGAAAGGTAACCTTGACGCAGCCATATGACAACTTTGGCCACCAATTTTTCTATCTCAAAATGAGACTCCATTTCAGCTTGAAATATCTATGAATCTGCTGAAGCAATTATACTTTGATTGATGTGGAATTTTGAACTTCCTTAAATGGAATAACTGATTACTAGCAGAACTTTTAGGGTTCAGTGCCTTATCAATATATGTAAAAAGGTACAATGAAGATATTTTAGTTTAAAATTTTCCTCCAGTTTTCTTCACCTGGGATAGATGTACAGAAATGTCTGTGCTCATGTTGTGAAAAGGACATTCTCCCAACCTTACACAAAGATACCTTACAAGTCAATGTCTCTTAGAAGGTAATTAGAGACTTACAGGAAACCTAGAGATATGAATGGGGTAGGCAGAGAAGGTACATCAGGAGAGAGATGTAAGTTCCTAGGGAAATTGTGTGAAGCACAGGGCTGGATCTATGCCTGGGAATCAGGAAGTTAGAGTTCTAATTTCAGCTTTTCCACTGATTCACTTGGGACCTTGAGAATGTCTGGCTCATTTTAATTGTTTTGTGCCTCAGTTTCCTTATCTGCCAATTAGAGTGAGAGTCCTTGGCTAGGTGCCCAGGATTGCGAGAACATACTGTGCAGGGCCATGAAAATACAACCAGTCCCCAAAATGGAAAACATCCTAGTTACTAGAGGTCCTAACTTAAAATGGAAATGTTAACAAGACTAATTCCTTTAATAATCAAAATGTGAATGTGTTAGGAAGCATATCTATCTGGGTGAAAATTAAGCAAATAAAACTATTATAAGGATGTGTCACCCGGGAATACATAAGCAAAAAGAGATCAGACCTGAAGAGGGATACGTTCTAGGTTTGCTACTTGGCATTTATGTGACCTTGAATAATTTCTTAACCTCCCCCTGTATCCTCATTTGTAAAATGGGAATAATGGCATTCACCTCAGAGGGTTGTGGTAAAGACAATTATAAATGGAAGTTAGTTCTTTTGAGCCACTGGTGGGGTTTGAATTCACAGCCACTGTGTACTTTGCAGTTGATGGTTTCTTTTGTTACAATTTGTCACCCAGACAATTTTAGTCACCCAGAGCAAGGAATTTTTAACACTATCATCTACTGAGCATTTATGATATAGTAGTGCTCTATTCCCATGCTAAGGACTTTACTTAAATTATCTCATGTCCTCCTCTCAGAAACCTATTACTATTCCTGACACAAAAGTGGAGGTAGAGAAAAACCAAGCTTTATTTCTGGCTTCATTGTCTTTCCTTATCCTGCCTTGCTTTCTTTTTCTCATCTACATCTAATTGGCTGTTAGTATTCTCTTAAGGCACCTTAATTTTTCAAGACTAAAGCAGCAACTGACTGCATATGTTTATTTAACATGTTATTTTTGTCATGTTGCTGTCCAACCCTAGAGACCTGCTCTAAATTCCCTTGGATATTTGAGAATAAATCATGCTCACTGGCAGGCTCTGGAAAGAATTGAAAAAAGCCATCCCGAAATTTTCTAAGCAACTTAAAGCTTTAGGAATTCCATTATGGTCATTGCTAAAAAGCATTTACATTTATGCATAGAAAAATAAAGTTATTATCAAGAAATCTTATACACAGGCATATGTTCAGAAATCTTCACTAATAATCAATTGTATATATGATGTATATGACCTTGTGGTAATGCTGTCCTCAGACACCGCACTATGGAATTCTTTCAGTTACCAGAAAGGTTAAATTTAGCAAGTTCTTTGTTACTAATTGTGTAATTAATAACTGTGAAATACTAAAATTTGCCTCAGAGAAGCTTTTAAAATATTTTTTAAAGCAAGGTGATATTGAAGAAAGAATCAATACCTTTGAGGCCAGATTCAAAACTCAAATCCACCTCTTATTTAACTGCATAATTTAACATTTTGAACCTCACATTTTTCTATAAAATGGAATTATTACCCACTTTCTGTGAGTTAAATGAGAATAGTGTCTGATCATAACAGCCAATTGACAAATGTTCGTAACTCTCTCTTCCCATGGAAAAGAATCTCAGGGCAGGTGTGCTTCAAGTCTGTTCTGTAAAGAGATAGGAAATCTCTGCTGCAATAAAGTCCTTCCCAAACTCCACTGGTAACAGACTCTTTATTTTCAAATAAAAGTAATGTACTTTTGTACATTGTATACTCAAAACACATATACCCATTTCAGGGCATTTATGGGCCACTATTGCCCCCATCCTTTGACCCAAAGTGTGAATGCCTGCTTTAGTGTATTAATTTTGACTTCACCAAATCCCCTTACAAAACAAAATTATATTAAAAATAAAATTATCTGGGTATCTTGTAGTTGAATGAAGGAAAACTGCAGGCCTTTATTTTTTATAGTTTTGGGAAAGTGCAGTGTTAGAACAAAACCCCATAGTAGATAACTAAGTAAATTGTATAGAAACTTCATTAAAGGGCTGATCTGACTTGCTACATATTTTGTACAACTTTTAAAAAACAAAAGTTAATATTAACTTCTGAGTCTAGATCTAAATGAGCAGAGAAAAATTAGAATGACAATAAATCTGTAAGGTCGTTTACATAATTGGGGACATACCATTTTTACATATTACTTTATTAGGACATTGAACAATAGATTGAGAAATAGGATGTTATAGAAAATATACTTTAACTACTGATAAGTATCATGCACTTTTTCCAAAAGATGTTTTATTGCATTGACTCCAGGATGGCTTCTTGGCACTGAGAGCCTCCGTGGAATCACCAAGTTTTTATTCCCTAATCCTAAACTTGGCTGTAATGTTGCTGCTAGCAGTCATCAACTTGTTTGGGGATCTATTTTTGATCTGTTCATATATCTGCCCACACCAAGCAGTTGAGCTGGCTCTGTCCCACTCTTTTGGGAGTAATTTTTTTAATCCTATGCTTCAGTTTTTGTCTATATAAATCCTTCCAGAAGGATAAAATCTTCTGAGAATTAATTGTTTAGGTGAGCATGTACTATGAGAGAGAATGTTATTGAGGAAAGGGTCAAATTTGCATTCTGGCCCTACCTTCGTAAAATGATAACCTACGCTCCCGGATTGGTTTGTAACCCCAGATGGCATGGAAACAATGGATGAAGTAGCATTTAGTAACTACTAAGTGCTATGTGACTGCAAACTCATTTGATTACTACCTAGTGGTCACCCTAAAGGACTACTAGAGGATTCATTTAGGGAGGATGACTGATATTTGCATCTATCCTTATTAAAAACTTTACTGTTTGTTTAATTAAAAAATGAAGTTCTCTCTTAACATTTTAAACTGCCTTCCTTCCTAACTTTCCTCTTGCTGTTAATGTCACCCCTATTCTCCCTAGAAAGCAAATTAAAAACTCAAAACTCATTTTAGGTTTTCTCTTTGCCAACCTTGAAGTAACCAAGCTCTATGGATTCTTTCTTTAACATCCCTAAAATTTATTCTTCTCTTTTCTTCTTTTCTACATCACTACTATTTCAGTTGTGACCCTCTCATTTCAAACTTGGGACATAGCAATAATCTCTCTGCCTTGAGTCTCTTTTTCTTTTCCCCAAACCTTCAGCTGAATTTGACACAGCTGAATTTGACAGCTGTGTCAAATTCATCTTGATAAATGACTTGCACTCATTGTGGCTGCAGGCTGCATTCTCCTGCTTCAACATCTTTAATAGACTCCCCCCGCCCCCACATCCCCCCACACACTGTATGTAAAAAATATGGAGTCTAGCCTCAACCTGCCATTTCAGCCATGGCCACACAGGTCTATCTTCCCGTGGCACTTACTGTGTTATCCTTCCTTATTCCTGGAGCCTTGCTTACACCAGTTCCAAGGTCCCTTCTTTCCTCTCCAAATCATACCCCATTTCCCATGCTTTGCTCAAGACCCACCACCCCACAGCTCACAATGATCTAATTTACTGAAGAAATTCTAACAGTGGAATATTCAAAGAGTCAGTAATCAATTAACTAACTACGCCTTAACACTGTGTGTGTAGTTGTCTCAGAGTGCAATTAACTTAGATCATGTCATTTACTGAGCACCTATGATACTTATCCATGTTGCCAGGTTTTATTTGAAGGCAGGAATTTTACCATATCCATTTGGTTTCCCCTAGAGCATGGTTCTCAATCTTTCATATGATCAAGAAACAACTGGAAAACATGTTAACAGTTCTGGTTTCCAGCCCCAGAGATGCAGTAAGATCTGGGTGGGGCCCAAATATCTGTTTTCCTAAGAAGTTCAAAGTGATGGTGATGCTACTGGGTGCCTTCAAACATCTCATATTATGCATAAAACTCTCTTAAATATTTATGGATACTCAGTAGTGGTTTTTTCTCCTTTCTTCTATTTCAAGCTCATATTTTGTTATTTCTTCCTTTTAGATTGATTTTGAAGATGTGATTGCAGAACCGGAAGGGGCACACAGTTTTGACGGCATCTGGAAGGCCAGCTTCACTACCTTCACTGTGACGAAATATTGGTTTTACCGCCTGCTCTCTGCCCTCTTTGGAATCCCAATGGCACTTATCTGGGGCATTTACTTTGCTATTGTTTCTTTCCTGCACATCTGGGTAGTTGTACCATACATTAAGAGTTTCCTGATTGAGATTCAGTGCATCAGCCGTGTCTATTCCATCTGTGTCCACACCTTCTGTGACCCACTCTTTGAGGCTTTTGGCAAAATATTCAGCAATATCCGTATCAACATGCAAAAAGAAATATAAATAACTTTTTAAGGATAGAAGTATACCTGATTCTTTTTCTCCTTCTAATTTTCTTGGTGCCAATTTCAAGTTTTAAGTTGCTAGTATAGCAAAAATATATGAATGAATTTTTCTGACTGATAACCAAGAAATCATTCTTTCAGTTTTTATAACTATTATTTGTCTCTTCTGAGCTATTCATCTATTGTATTTGGTGATCAGAATTTTTTAAACCCATTTAAAATATTTTCCTTATATTTTTATTTGCATGTGGGTCATAGTGTTATTGTCTGAGATAGGAACCTGTTGCTGAAAGATAATTTGAGAGAAACATGAAGAACCAATGACCTCAACTGCCTATTCTAAAATGATCATTTTATGGTAAGGGAAGAATGCCAGGCTATGGCCACTGATTGTACAGGTATGTGACTGGTTCTAAACAAATTCTTCCCTCACCATCTAAAGTGTTAGTGGATTGCTGCCATTCATTTTAATGATCCAGTGGGATCTAGTGATCTTCATCAAATTAGAAAATGTACTCTGCATTCACTAATGCCTTACCTTTCTTTAAATTTTAACCTGTGATATTTTCTGTGCTTGAATATTTTGTTACATAGAAAATGACACTTAAGTGCCTTCCTGTTTTTCATATTTTCCTTCCCAAATAGGGTCGGTCAAACTAGCCAACTTTAATTAGGTAAGCAACTTCCGTGGAAACCAAAATTAGAAAATTTATTACATTGTTCTCCACACTTATGTCTGACTCTGAGAAGTCAGATGAAGTTCATGTATGCACTTGATCATGCACCATCTTTATCCATATTGAGTATGGTCCACATCAGCTCCATAAAATGGATTAAGGTAGACAAATGAGACTAAGTCCTCTCTGGGCTGGCACAAGTAAAAACCAACTTTCCCTGCCTCTCATCAGCTGAATGAGGTCAGCATGTCTATTCAGCTTCGTTTGTTTTTGAGAATAATCAGACTTTCCTGACTCCAAACTAATCCATCACTGGGGTGTTTCAGTGGCTGAACATTGTGTTCTCTTTTCAGTTGATCAGTGGGCCTCCTGAGAAGGGCTCATAAAATGGAGGCCATTGTGTGAAACTGTCAGAGTTGTTGCAAGTGTGACCCCTTCAAAGTAAAGCACTTGCAACCATCTATTATGCTGTGACACATGGCCCCTATTCCTGCCAGGAGCTTTGGAGCTAATCCAAGCATCACTTTGCTCAGAGAGAAGATGGGGGAGGAGACAGTAATTAAAGACTGTAGTAGTTTTGCTGGAATAAAGTCAAATTCTTCTAAACTCAAACTGAGGAATGTTACCTGTAACCTGAGTCATACAGAAAGCTGCCTGGTGCCTCCAAAGGCTTTTTTATTCCCCCTGCTCATATTAAGATTCTGTCTTTGAGGAATTTACTTTTAACCTTCAGTTATGCTTTTACTTTTCATTTCATACACCTGTTGGAACTCTGTTTTACTTTTTCTTTTTGCCTCTTACAGTTTTCCCGAGATTTTATTTACCTAGCTGTTACCTACTTTGAACTTTTGCATTTAAAACAGACACTGGCAAGGACATAGTTTTACTTTTAATCTGTGTACGTACTACATGTACTATACTGCATACTTGTTAAGTGTAAAGATATTTTTATCTTTATATGGGGAAAATCACTTGGGAAATTGCTTTATGATTCAATCTGTAAACTGTGTATCCCAAGACATGTCTGTTCTACACATAATCTCAGTCCCTTGTGCAAATTATGTGCTGGTCCAAAGGTTGCTAAAATTTTATATGCCTACTGATATATTTTACACTTTTTTATCTTGCATGTCCTGTAAAGCTTATAAGTCTACACAATAAAAATGTTTAACAGTTCTACAGTCAGCTTTATTATTTTTCCCCAAAACAGATGTATATGTGTCAGTGCCTGTGTGTGTAGTGTCATGCATATAGTGAGTGTGCACATCTGTAGGGTGATTGTGGGGGGGTAGTAGTCTTCCACTTTTCAAATATTACCGTTGTAACATTGTAATCATTCCCGTGTAAGTGGGATCTTTCTTCAAAGGCCATTGCCATTCATGAGTTACTTTAGAAAAAAGTTATAATTCATAAGCAAGATTTAACAGTTTGCACAATGCTTTATTTTATGTCATCTAATGTGAGCCCCTAACAACTTTGTGTGATGGATATTCATAGTCTCCTTCAGTAAATGACACATAAGACATTTTGCCATGTCTTAACTGGAATTTTTTAAACAGCACATTTAGGAAACAATTATTTTTGGCCTTGGGTAAGTTTAAAATCAGAGCTTTTTATTTAGTCAATGTTCTCCAGAGAAATAGAACCAATAAAAAAATATATATGAAATTTATATGAATATAGAAAGAATAATATATATTTATTTTTCTCCAATTTTTCTCCAATAGTTACATAATAGTAGTTAAAACTTATAATAATCTCTGCTTACCAAGCATTATTCTATATAACTTAATATATTTGTTCATCTCATCCTCCCAATAACCCTATGTGGTATGTGCTATCATTATCATCTCAACTGTGCCGATTAGGAAATTTAGGCACAGAGAAGTAAAATAACTTGCCCAAGGTCACACAGACAGCAATTGACATGGAGATGGGCTCAGAGTCTGGGATCTGAACTGTTGCAATAAACCACAATTACTGGAACAACCAGAAACCAAGTTGTGTCTCTACTGAAAACAAGTAATGCAAATTAAAACATTTTCCTTCTAAAATCTAAAATTAAATTACTCTCATGGACTTACCCAAATTGAAGCTAATCAACAAAACAAATAGATGAGCCAAAGAGAACCAGAGACATGGAAATAAAGAAAAAAATTACAGTGACCAGAGGAATAGGGGAGAGGTATAATGGGGAAAGATGGGGAAGGGGAAAGTATAAAATATATATAGAGGACTCATGGGCATGGGCAATAGGATAGGGATTGACTGTGGGAGCAGGGTGGGGGTGCAGGGCAGGGGAGAGCAATGGGAAAAAGGTGGGACAACTGTAGTTGAACAAAAATTAAAAAATAATAATAAAAATAAATATTTAAATATAAGCATAATTTTTTACAACATAAAAAGTGTTTTGTAATAATGTATACTCTATCATATTATAGTTTAATGACTTTCAAGAGACTAAAATGCCCAAGCAACAAGTTAGTGTACAGACTCCTGGACAAAAACTTCAATGATGGAAAGAAACAAACTTTTTGAAATAATAAGATGACAGGATGGTGGTGGAGTTGGTAGATATTACACCCACCTCCACTCAGGACAAAACTAGAATTAAACAACTAAAATTAGAATTAGACAACAACTAAAATATAGAGCAAGCAACCTGAATAACAAACTGAAGACTAGCTGAAGAGAAGTCTTATAAACAAGGATTTACAGAAGCAACCAGACATCCCAGAAGAATGTGTCAGCTGAAGGAAGGTGCCCCCTGAGAAGTGTGGGGTTTCAACCTCAAGCCGGGCTCCCCAGTCCAGAGTATTAAAGCCAAGAAGAGGTGCCCACATAACATATGGCTGTGAAAATCAGCCAGGATTCTGTCTACCAGGGACAGCAGACAAGAGTCAGCTGGAGACTCAGGCATCTTCTTAAAGGGCCAATACACAAAATCTCATTCACAACCACTATCTCTGGGCTCCAGCAGATGAGGGACAGAGCAGACTAGTCACATGAGGAGAGTCTGGGGTCTGTGGCTCTGTAAGGAGAGCTTAAGGGAGAGCTGCCATGATCCCTTTGCCAAGTCACTCTCACACTGCAGATGCCACCATTATTTGACAGAGCACTCCCCTCCATAAGGCATTAGCCTGGGGGGGAGCAATAGCCCCACCCTCTGGACTCCTTCACCCCCCACTCTGAGGTGCTTGTGCCCTGTTGAAAATTCAGCTGCCTGGGCCAAAAGTCTAGTATGAATCAGGGATGTCAGTGACTAGGTTATGTGGCTTTGGGGTGGGAGGCATTTCCATTTCCCCAATTTCCCATGAACCTGACTGGTGCCTCCCCCTAACAGGAGATCTGCTAGCTCTACTCTCCAGGCTCCATTGTTTGGCTCCAGTCTGCCACAGTCTGGGCAGAATCCAGAACAGACTGAGTTATGTGGCTCTGGGGCAGGGGGCCACTCCATCCAAATTCCAGCAGCTCTGACTAAAAAGTCCCCTCACAGGAGATCCACTAGCACCATTTTCCTGACTCCTGGTGGCTCCACTCTGCTGAGATCAGGCTCCTGGCATAATCTGTAACAGACTAAATTGTGTGGCTCTAGGACAAGGGCCTTTTTCCCCTTGCACACTCAACCAGTGCAGAGTCCTACCTTCACACAGCCATATCTTGGTCTGTTTGGACCTGATAAATTTTGCTGGTCTCACCTTGATGAGTCTCTAAGACCTCACCCCACCACAAAGTTATGACAACACCCAGCAGGTGGCATGTAGACTTGGTAACCTCTGGGACATTTACTGAGTGGTTTCAGATCCAGCACTGGCACCAAGTTTGAACCTGTACCAAGCTGCTGAACACCACTCACCCCTACCTGGTGACTCACTAAGAACCTACTTCATGCAACTTGAGTACCATGAGAGGCTTTTTCAGTGACTGAGCTTAACAGGCAGCAAGTAGGTTGAGGCAAGCCAGTGTGTATCTTGGGGTGACTTAGGTGATTTGCTGACCTGTGCTCAAGCCCAGAACTGGTAAAATCTAGTCCTGGTGCATAGCTTGGTCCTCACCACACACACCCAGGCCCAGCAGAAGAAACCTCAAACCATAGATGACTTTGTAACTCCAAACAGGTTGCCCAGGACCATTCACAGGCAATGTCTGACTTTGGCTGGTACCAGAGTCCCTCCCAAATGGCTCCAGAAACAACACATCCAATAACCAGCCCCATGCAACATAAGAGCAGTATCCAATAAACCCCACAAACAATGTATCCAAAAGGACATCTCTGTAAGCACCAGACCATACTGAGGAAAATTCCACTTCATGTGGTCAGTACCTGCATAGCAGCTCATACACCATGGTTGGGGTTGATCCTCACAGTTGGCCAACCTGAGGGTGACCCTCAAGCATGAATGGGCCAATGGCAATCAAGAGTCCATTACAAAAGGAAGGCCCACATAACCACACAAGAAACATTCTTAGAGCGCCCAGCTCAGGTAATTAAGGAAACTGTGCCATGGGATCCTTAGAACAGTTACTAAATAAGGCTACTCTACAAAGACTGGGAGTCATTGCAGATATACTTAAAACATAGAAACAACACAAAGAGACAGCTAAAATTAGTAAACAAAGAAACATGTCTCAAATGAAAGAACAAAATAAGTCTCCAGAATAAGAGTTAAATAAAATTAAGGTAAGCATTTTATCAGATATAGAGTCCAAAAAAATGATTATAAGAATGCTCAAGGAATTTCATGAGAACCGTAACAGCATGAAAAAGGACATAGAAACCATAAAAAAGAGTCATACATGAAGAATACAATATCTGAAATGAAGAATACACTAGAAGAAATAAACCAGGGGTGTCAAACTCATTTTCACCAGGGGCCACATCAGGCTTGAGGTTGCCTCTAATCAAATATATAGGGTGGTTGAATTAATAAGAAAACATGACCCATATATATGTATCCTACAAGAGAACCACTTCAGATCAAAAGACACACAGATGACAGATAGTGGGGGCGTGGTTAGGAGGTGGAGGGACTGAGCAAAAAGGAGAGAGGACTCATGGACATGGATAACAGTGTGGTGATTGCTGGGGAAAGGGGGGTAAAAAAATGACTAAATGGTAATGGAAAAATATAATAAAGGTTTTAAAAATAAATTTTAAAAACACAGAGACTGAAAGTTCAGGGATGGAAAAAGATATTTCACTGGAATGGACCTAAGTGTCCATCGATAGACAGATAAAGAGGTGATACATATATGCAATAGAATATTACTCAGCCATAAAAAAATTGTCAAAGGACCCAAATAAACACTTCTCCAAAGAGAACATATACCAGTAGACATATGAAAATATGCACAATGTCACTAATCATCAGAGAAATGCAAATTAAAACCACAATGAGATATTACCTCATACCTGTCAGAATGGCTATCATCAATAAACCCACAAACAACAAGTTCTGGCAAGGATGTGAAGAAAGGGGAACCCTAGTGCACTATTGGTGGGAATGCAGACTAGTGCAGCCACTGTGGAAAGCAGTACGGAGATACCTCAAAAAATAAAAACCATCCATGTGTCCTTTATTATGGAGAGAACTGTACTTGAGCAACAATAAGAAAATGTGGAAAAAAAGAAACTAATATAATATTGTATGTCAACTGTAACTGAAAAATAAAAAATATTTTAAAAATTAAAAAAATAAAAGGACTGGATTTGAAAAAAAAATAAAAACTGAAACTGCATTATGACCCAGCGGTTCCACTTCTGGGAGTACTCATATATTGGAAGAAACCCAAAATAGTAATTTAAAAGAACAAAAGCACCCCTATGTTCATTACAGTGTTATCTACAATTGCCAGAATACAGAAGCAGCTCAAGTGTCTGTCAGTAGATGAGTGGATGAAACAACTATGGGACATTTACCCAATGGAATACTACAATACTTGGCCATAAAAAAAAAGAAAATTTTACCCTTTACAATAGTATGGATGGACCTGGAGAACACTTTGCTAAGTGAAATCAGCCAATCTGAGAAAGACAAATACCATATGATTTCACCTATGTATAATCTTATGAACAAACAAGCAAAATAGAGACAGATTCATAGAGAGCAGACTAACAGCTCTTGGGGGCATGTTAGAGGGTGGAGGGATTAAGCAAAAAGGAAAAAGGACACAAG